TAAAATCAATGTAATGACATTTGATGTTTAACACTATTTTTATTCAAGAATCAGAGTGAATCAAATTATTTTAGGGAGTTAATCTCCAGATAAATTCCTTAAGTCTGCATGCTTTACTCAGCCTTTTAATTAAATTAAGGTGTCTAAAAAAATAGATAAATGATAAGTTTTTGCTGCCCGCTTATCAGTTATATATATGCTCCCACAAACACTCCAGTTGAACTGCTAAAACTAGCATAGTACAATTATGTAAAGAAATTCTAAAATGTTCTAAAAGATAAAGCCAATAATCCACTACAACTCTTTAAGGATTGCAAATTTAAATTAAGAGTGAAGAAGCGCTAACAAAAAGTTCTTACAGCAATTTTAGTTCACCCACATTGCCTATCCTGTATGTTAAAGTATACATTCAACTGCTTAAAGAGTAATCCAAAATATGTACAATGTGGCAGATAAAATAGGAGCCCCAGAGCAATTTCTTGACTTTTTTCTATTTCAAATTTGTGACTTTAACAATGAATTAATATAAGTTTTGTTTACTTGTTTTAATAAAAAAAAGAACGCACGTTCACACACAGCTGCTATAATTCGAAGTTGTGCAGCCAGAACTCTATAAATTGCAACCTCCTTTTGATAGATATACAAAAGCCTGACCTCCAGAACAATGGAGTTGCATATTTATGTTCTTCTCCCACTCTAAAAAGAATCAGAACTGGCTCTGCCCAGTTTGTTCTGGTCCTGAAAGGTTTCAAGTTGGATTTAAAACAGGGAAGGAGGGAAGTGGGAGAATGGCATTATGAAGGGTGAGTCTACACAAGTTTTCCTGCATTAAGAGGGCTCTAACTCTCCCATTAAGGATGTGGGAGAAGGTTTTGGCTTGCAGGACAGTAAAACAAGAGTTGGAAAGGAGGTTTTCTTCCCAGAAACTGCATTAGGGCTGAATAAAGAATATCTCCAAACAGTTTGGACTCCTTGAAGGGAAGAACAGGAACCTCAATTTGAGGATGGGTTTCTTTCCTATGGACACATCCACAGGTCCTTGCAGATCATCACAAATACTGGCTCCTATGTGGCTGCTTAGTTGGAATTGCAGACATATTTGTCCTACAATTAATATTTGGAAGAGGTCCCCAAAAATCAGGCACCTTCTCCACTTTCTTCTGAAAAATGGTTTTCCACTCATCTTCTAGCACTGTCTCCCACAGCTCATGAAGCTGAGGCCTATTTGGTGGTGCTTATGGATAAGGCACACTTAGCTTTCCCTCAACAAGCCAAGCTCTTAGGGGGAGGGGGAGAGAACCTGGATGCCAAAGCTGCCTGTACACAATTATCAGGCAGTGAAGATACAAACATTAAAGGAAGGAGATCAAGCCAGCATCCATGCTGTAAAGATAAGTCAAAGGGTGGGGAAGAGAAAGAAAATTACTAAGCAGCTCCTAAAAGACTAGCCATATCTTTATGGCTAAAATGGTTTAAAGTTTGTGTTCAAATTATTTGTGAACAAAAAATGTGACTGTCCTATATTCTTCCTCATACTCTCAAAAAAAATGCAAGAATTCACCTGTGGCCAGGAGGAAAAGATTCACACCCAAAAGTTGGGGTTAATTGGATCAATAGGGATAAAATAAAAAACAAAGAAACAAAACAAAAACAACTAATGAAAATCTGCATTTTTCCAGTTTGCTGAGTCTATCTGGCCTTTAACAAATCCTGCTAGCAGGGGACTGAACTAGATGACCTTTCAAGGGCCCTTCCAGTCCTACAATTCTATGATTTCTAAGACTAGAAAATGTCTCAAAAAATTAAACTAGACTACTGTTCAAGTGCAGTTTGAGAGTCATTTTAAAAATCCCAAAGAAATATCAGGCACTCACTTGTTCCTAAATGGTATGACTCAGTAAAAATGGTGACTGGGGTACATGGCTCTCAAAATTTAAATAACTCTACTGTGATTTGAATTGGAAGTTTGTTGCAATCAATTGCAGTATTTATTGGCTCAGTATGCATTTTCCAGTCTCCTGGTTCTGACCTTTAACAAATCCTGCTAGCAAAAATCATTTCTTTCTTCTCAATGAGGCCTCTTAATGACAGCCAAAATTATTTCACTAATGCAAGGACTTCTAACAAATGAATGTAATATATTCTATTCTCTCAAAGCACAATACATTCAGTCTTGCTTATTTTGTATAATATTTCCTTTGTCTACAGATAAATACCCTTTGTCCAGAACAGGAGGTTGCAGAATTGGCAGAGACCCTGTCACATGGACTATTTTGGGACACCTGGGGGGTGTTCCAGTGGTGGGAAGGGATATGACCAGTAAAGTTTTATGTCCCGAGTATTCCTAGGTCACTACAGGATCAGAAGGTGAGGGAGGGGAACAACCTGCTCTAACCAGTGCAGGGGGGGCTGAACTGGTCCCTGGCAGCCCCCAGGATCTAAAGAAGTGGGGAACAAGTATACATATCACCCCTTTTAAATTCATGTACTGGGCTTTTAGCATAGGGATAATTCAACTCTCTCCTACATTCTTAAACTAAATTAGAAGTCTAAGCAGCTTTCAACCAAGTTTTCAGGAAGCCTCTCTTTCTGACCATGCCTTGAAATGAAAGCTATTTGGTGACTGATAGCCATAGGAACTCTGGAACTCCAGTTCTCCTGTGTCACCTGGGATCTATTAGGATAAAATAATCATCCCGATTTTAAGTGACACTTTTAAATCAGTAGTTAAGGTAGGCATAGACAATATCACCAATCCAGATAACCAAGCAAAACTGACCTACTGAGTTTTTTATTTATATATACACATATATACACACACACACATATATATACACACACCAGAATCTTTAGTCCCAAGATACAAATACCTAAGGATTGGAACAGTTAAAGAACTTTAAATATGGTTAAGTTTACGTTCTTCAGGGATTTCATTTTGATCCATTTTCAGGGGTATCCTCAAAGTACTGTTCAAAACTCAGAATGCCAAATCCACTGTAAGTGAACAATATCTACTGGATATGAAGAGCTACGAAAAATGTTCCCATGATTTCTGTAGCACCCTTCCTTTTATTGCACTTAAATGGTGTAATATTTTGCACTTATGTACTGTACTTTTTTTGCTGTTAAAGTTCTTACTCTGAAAAACTGAGCTATTATCCCAAAGTTTAAAGTTATTTCATTCCTGGATGTAATACTTAATTCTGGAAAAAGTGACTTAATGCAGTAATCAGTGACTATTCATATATTAAGATCCATTTTATTTCAACTTTGATTATTAATAACTCAGACACGCTTGATATACACAGATAAAACCGAATATATTTCCAATGATCCAAATTACAAGTTATAAAATACATCATGGAGATGTATACTATACATACCTCTTGTGCTAGCTCTTGTGCATTGGAGATAAGAGGATACGGAGGGCTGGCCTTGTTCATGTGCACTGTGACAGCATTATGTATCTTAAATGCATTCTGAAAATCAGTATTTTGGACAAGTTGTAAAATGAGAGAGAGATCCTCTTGGCTCTGGGGGTCTACCAAAGTGTGTTGGATATGCTTAAGAGAAGCTAACAGCTCTTCCACTTCTGGGCAAGGGGGAAAAAAAAAAAAAAAAAAGATGCGAGAGTTAGGTTAAGCTTATTATTACGTTATGCACATTGTAAACTTCTAAGATTTGTACAAAAGACAGCAGTTCAACCTTGACTGAATGAGCAATGATGCATGCACAACTGTTCATTATTTAGTCCACTAATAATAAACCTCACACTGAAGAGCAGATCATAACTAAAGAAAAGGAAAAATCAATGTAATTAGGAGCAATAAAAAAGCTGATTAAAATCTTTGCAGATAAGTTCCAGATCACAGCAGCAATTCATTCCTCACATTCTTTAGCTTCTCCAAAATAATGGGTTGCTATAAAAGGGCTTGATAATCAAAATCCATTAACAACAGATTGTGAAAGAGGGAATATTTTACAATATGAAAAAGTTAGCAGCTTTGCTAAACTAATCTAGATGCTTTACTGAATATTCATAGAGAACCCTATTTCAAATACAATCTTCTTCACACATTCACAATATTTGCATTAAAAGCTTTATTTTTGTATTAGGTACATATGTGCCATTTCCCCTTTACAGAGTTTATTTCTGACAAGAGCTAAATTAAAAATTATATTGAGCAATTCTGAACTTAAAGGTTGGAGGACAGGGGGAAAGAGGAAAAAGCACACAAAAATCCTCTTACCATACCGAATTCTGTATGTTTTTAGTGTGTCAGAGTAGGAAAATTCAGACTACAAATCGCTTTACCTATTAGGCTGTGAATTCTACTTGGAACATATATTTTAATAGGGTTTAATAACTTTTAGTATTGCATTTTTATACTTTACTAAATTTGCTTTTTGGGGAGAGTTTAAAAGGCTTAGATTTCTTAGCAAAAAGTAGAATTTTAGGACTGTTGCAATAGTGTGGTATTTCAATATACAGTATTTAAAACTAATCTTAATGTTTTCATTGTAAGTGACTATAAAAAGTTAATTAGCTGTGTTACAAAAGAAAATGGAACCAATCCAGTAGAACAACTTTCTCTAGCAGGCAGTTGAGGACTGAAGTTGGAAGAAGGATAAGTAAGAAGGTGATAATGCAGTATTCTATATTGAACACAGGTTAAACTAAGGGTGATCTGAATAGCATTTGAACCACATGAAGGCAGATTATAAAAGCCTCTGTGGGAGAAGCCTTCCCTCTTTTGAGATCAAGGATCAGGGAATTACTGACTATTCCCCATTGGTCATCCTCTGCCTCGTGCATTTCTTCATCCCCAGGGGTGTTCTAACTTTACAACTCTTGGTGCTCCTGATAAGTCTTTGAAGGGCAGATCCCAATTTGTAAGTAGGGTCTTGGGCATCAATGTGTGCATGCATATTTATATTTTTGCTCATAAGATGTGCCCGTTGCTCAATCATCTTTCTAAAGTGGTAGTTTCCGCTCTCTCTAAATGCTTTAAAGGCCCCTTTCATCATAAATTCTGATGAGGATTCTGGATTGAAGTCCCTCTTGTAGGCATCTGGCATTGTGTGCTGCTTAGAGTGTTTATCCATTACAGAACCAGAGAAAGATAACAAGACATTTCTGGGATGAGTTATTCTAGCATTAGAGGAAGACAGAACAGGGAAATGCCTTGCATAAGGGTTGGAATTAAGTTTGTGGCTTTTCTAACGCTCCTCTGAAGTCTTGTAGAGCTGCAGTGATTGTCTATTTTGTTTAGTCAGACCACTGAGGAAGGAGATGAGTGACACTGAGTATGGAATGGAGGCAGTAGACCTGGATGAAGATGTTTTGGGGGCAATGTAGGCAACTGTCCTCCTTGTGAAACTGAGGCATGCTGTTGTACCTTTGGACCTTGAGGAGCAGTGTCTAGGATTAGGCAAATGCAGATCCCTGGAGGAAGGGGCACTTTTTTGCAAAGCACAGATCAAAGACTCCAATTGTAATGTCACCATTTTATCCCTTTTCATGACCCTAGGGTCCCCTTTACCATCAGGGAAATGGGGGAAGGGGCATGCTGCAGCAGCTGCACTGGAGTCCAGCACCAGCTGTCCAGTCTCATCCCCCTGAGAGAGACCATGGAGTATAGGTGGGTTACAGTAATACTGGATATTTCATACACAAGGCCAAATGCATATTGGAATAAGGTATCCTAAGATAATCCGTGTCTCAGCAGAAAACTATAGATGCAGCTATGTAAAAAAACATGTTCCTGATCCCCATTCCCACAGTGGTACCTAAAGTTTGTTCTTTACTTTTCCATCCAGATCAGCTGGCAAGAGTATTCACCAACAGAGCACAGTCAAATGGCAAATCCCTTGTAAAATGAGGAATGTAGATCACCAAAATGGTGACTGGTTCTGAAGAACTAAAAATTTGGACTCTCACAGAAAAGTGAAAAAAATTCACGTGCTATAGCATGCAATTTTTTAGAAATACCTGTCCCATTAGCCTGTTACACACCTAATTACATTCAGCAATCTGACTCACATTCTGCCAGTGGGACACTATCCAGACAAATACAATAAATGTAACCTAAACATGGTATATCTTTCTCTTTCAAGTTTATTTCATTCCATCACTCTCCATTCACTCTCCTTGTCTATTATGTACTTTTCTTCCCACTTCTATTTATTCTCTCTAAATGTTCCTTTTCTCTTTACAAACCCCAAAATTCTTCCTTTATACAGGCCACAGCTGTACCCACATCTGCCCACTTCCTGGCTACTTCTACATTCCCCCACCCACTCCAGAAACAGTTGACTGTTCCCATCTCCCCTTTTTCTTCCTAGCCCCCTACAAAGTCTTGCACCCCATGTGTCCATCACACTCTCCTCCTTCGGCAGTTATTTTGCACTGATCGTGCAAATGTGTTAAAGGCCAGACTTCTATACTGTCTGTGGGACACACAAAAGTAACATGGAACAGCAAGGAAATGGTGGGGAGAGACTTCATGGCCAGATAAAGGAGGAATGGGAGTGGAATTAGGTATTCCCACAGGGCAGGCACTTTTAAAAGATAGATCCCTATACATCCCAAGTTACCCAATTAATAAGTATTTCAGTCATATACATAAAAATCTATAATGAGCTTACTGGAAACTAATATTTTCCCAGACTCATATTTCTGAATCCTAGATTAAGGGATACATCTGTGTACAGTATACCTAATAAGCTCCAGTTCATTCCCCACCTCTGGCCAATGAGAAATCAGTCTATTATATCCACTCCCACCTTTGAACATGTTTCAATTATAAATATTTTCCTTAAGACAAAAAAAGTGAAGAAATACTACTTAAAGAAAGGTAAACGATCTCTACTCACAGAGAAAGTGAGGCTTCTTTTTGATACTGCAGGTCCATTATATATCAAACACTATTTCTCCACCCAAATACTTCTTGTTTTATTCCCCGTTTATGAGAAAAGTTGCAGCCTTTCCTGCTGGTTTAAGAAATGGCAGGGAAAATGTCTGAGCACTATGTAACGTGTGTATTAATCAAAAGCCTGGCAGGAGAAAAGAAATACGCAACTGCAGGGGAGGATTCCTGTTGCAGTTTGACATGTTAGCAGATTAGAAAAGGAGGGAAAATAAATAATAGCTGTCATTTGTTATTTTAAATACAGGTTACATACTGCATATACCTCAAAAATACAATATGGATAGGAGCCACAATATTAACTGAGACATGTATTTCTAATCTATGCAAATTGTTTATGTCAATAGATTAATTTATTTCATATTCTTTTGGAACCTCAAGTTCTCATTAATCCTCTGCAGCACTCTTTCCAATCAGAATATGTTAAAATCCAAATATATTCCCCTGGCTTAAATCTCTACATGTCACCTGGCACTTAAAAGGCATTAGAGTATAAAACAAATTCTTTTCAACAATGGAAAATGAGGACAGTTTATATTAATTGGGCCAGCATTGCTATTTGTGCCCAGCACTTGTTCACAGTTTCATTAGGGTTTTTAAAAAGCCTATAAAATACTGATCCACTGTTCCTGTAGATTTTTAGTCACTGAGCGATAATAGTTTAATATTTTCTTGCATATTAACCCCGACTAAAATCAATCATCATAATCATTTAAGGATTTTGGTAATACTTCTGTAAGAATTACATGACAGTGACCCACTCCTGGACAACAAGGGTTGAGTCAGGAAGAGGCCAAGCAGCTAACGTAGCATTTTTAGCAGATTACCAGACGTGAAGTAATACTACTGTAGTTCAGTGTTTCTCAAACTGGGGTCCGCAGACCCTTCCCCTCCCTCCAGTGCCTTCTGCATGCCGGGTAACAGCTGTTCAGCGGCATGGAGGAAGCACTGGGAGGGAGGGGGAGGAGTGGGGACAGGGCATGCTTGGGGGAGGGAAGAGGCAGGGAAGAGGAGGGGCAGGGGGGGAGCGGTGGTAGGGACTTGGGGGTCCACAAAAAAATTTAAATAAAAACGTGGGCCCTCAAGTGGCTAAAGTTTGAGAACTGCTGCTGTATTTAAACACATCTAATTTTTTTTTTAAACCATTGACTATGACCCTCATGGCATCTGAAGCTGTTTATTATTAAAATTAGCATGATGGCTAATTGAACCTCTGAAAGGCAGGCATTCAATATGTTTTCAACAAAAGAGCTGAACTGCTCATAATGGACTCCCACACTCCTCCATCATATCTGATGATCAAAAATATATATATTCTTAAACTACCTTTTTTCCACCCACTAAGCTAAACAGGGGAGACAGCTTTCAGAATGAGAGTCTTATTTTGAAGTTCAGCAAAAGTGTCAGTTCTTACATGAATCCACAATGTGGGGAAAAAGGACATGCATACAAGTTAACAAAGCCCTAGGAAAGGACAGTATAATTGTTGTAGAGCCTTTTTGTTGGTTACTTTGTCTTCTCCATTATATTACAACTTGGGGATTCTAGCTGTATTAGTGGTTTTATGATTCCTCATGGACTATGACAGAGTTGAAGGTTACACCATTTAATCTGAAATGCAGTTTTTAGTTTTGCAGTAGCACCTCAGATTTGATCCGTGACC